TTGTTGTTGTTGTGGCTACGCCGTTATTGCTGTGATTGTGCTTTTTATATTGTCTTGACTATCCTGACATTAACCATACATACTTAATCCGGTACTGGAAGCTCCGCACAGGAAGTGCAGCTCCTCGCAGATGCACTGCGCCTGCCCTCCGGCTCAACATACTATGGGGGCCAGGGCCGGGATTATTGGTAAGATTATTCCTCAGGGTTCCTCATGAGCATATAGTATACTATCATATACCCCCAAAGCCCTATTCTCATTATGAAGGCTCCTATATTGGGTTATAGGGCTTCAGGTCCAGGGGATTTGAGGTGTAGGGTTTAGGGTTTAAGTCTTAGGGCCCTTACAGTAGGGGTTTAGTGTTTCAGGGTTTAGAGGGAAGTGCGTAAAGTTTGTCGTTTTGGGTTTCACGCGCGGCTTAGGAAAATTCTCTGCCGGTTTAGGGTGCAGGATCCTTGTCTATGGGGTCTGTAGGGCTTGAGATCCTCTCTATCGGCCCCGAACTCCAAACTCCTAAACCCTGAACCCTGAACCCTAAACTCCTAAACACTACAACCCTTCAAGCCTGAACCCTAAACCTTCTGAGTTCTTTCTCAAGGCACGCGAAGCAAGGAGCTTGGGGGAAACTGCGGCCTGCTGCTGTGTTGGGGCGGCTGCGCCGCCTTCTCGTCACCTCAGCCACAGGAACATGGGACTTTCTAAGGACACGAACCATTCGGTGGGCACAGACGTTGCCTGAGACACCTTGGATTTATTACACAGGTTCTACAAGGCTTTATAAGAGGGATCTCTGAGGGTTTGGAGTTGGGGTTATAAGTAACCATAGCTATTGTGACCCTACTTACTCAGTCTCCGGATCCTCCAAGTAGCTCGGGGCTCTATGGCTCAGGGACCGTCATAGGATCTTGAAATCTTTCAGGGTATAGAGCTTAGTGTTTAGGGACATGCCCATGAACTTCAGATCTTGAGGGGGAGGTTCGTGGAGGGATGTAGCTCAGGGAAGAGGCTCCTAGAGGCTTGATAGGACTGGCTTTACAGTGTCCTTATCCCCAAAGATCTGAAGACACAGAATCCACGAACTAGGCCGGAGCCATCCCAAAGCTCGTTCAAAAACTTCTGTGTGGCCTTGCAGGCCCATGGAGACACTAAAACTCGCGTAACACTCGTAAAAAAAAAACGAACCGAACAGGATCTCCCAAGTCAACTCTAAACCCCGTGACAGCCCTGAACCCCGACGCGGCCCCGACTGCCATCGGCAGGGCGGGCGAGGAGGCTGATCCTCACGCCCATTTTTTGCGAGGCTTTGTGGGGGTCTATGCTGGAGAGGCCGACGGCTGTGCATGTAGGGTGCACTTGAGAAGCTTTTAGCGAATTACCAATACTCATATAACATACTCTTACTGGTTGCGCTTACAGTTTTTATGAATTACATCCGGGAAAGGTGCCGCCGAACTCGGGGCCTGCACGCCTCGAGATTGGAGCTTCCAGTTCAGGGTTCAGGAACCTTCCGGAGCGCCTCCGACCCGGGGCCCAACCGAAGCCAGAATGGGGTGAAGGGTTTCGGAGCCAACGTCGACGACACTCATAATTGCTTGTAGCCCCAGATTCAAGTAAACCCAAACCCTAATTAAACCCTAAACCCCTGAAGTCACTTGGAGGGAGTGCCTCGCTGGCTGCCGCACCGGGCCGACGAACGAGACCGCCTGGGGCGTTCGGCGCTCGAAGAATTTCGGGCCCCGCTTGCGGAGGTTTCGGGTTTAGAGCTTTAGGCTTGAGGATGTGGGAGTGAAGGGCTGGAGCCACTAGGAACCATTTAGGCCATGTGCTCTCCACATTGAGAAGTCAAGGGGGGTGTCCGGTTGAGGCCTCGAGGCTCGCAGGCTGCTTAAACTAGGCTCTTAATAAGGAACTTAACTTAAGTTACCGGAATAAGGAAACCATAAAATGTTCTATAGCTCCCGATTCTGCTAACTTCGGTGCCATTCCTGAACAAGAACCTAGCTGACTGGTTCAGGGATGGATTTTTGGCTTTAGGGGATTAGGGGTTTAGGGATTACGGGTTTCGGGTTTAGGGTCCTCCATGTGTCATACCTTCGTAGCGGGTCTGGGGGGGTTTCGTGGGAAAAAGGGGGACAGCAGGGAAGTAAAAGCTGCACTCGGTGGCCTTGGACGGATTCCAAGCTCCCGAGCCGCCCGAGCCCGGATCCTCCGTCCGAACTCTATCCCTTCCCGACCCCGGGCGAAAATGAAGCAGACTGCTATAAGCAAAAACAATGACAAAGCGTCTCAGCAAACGACGAAAATCATAGTGGTACTAAATCGACATCCCCGCAATCTCCTTCAGTTTGACCCCATCATCAGCTGCAGAATCCTAACCATACTCAGCTGACTCGTCGACGCGTCAACCGCACCCTGCCCCGGCACCTCCAAGGCGTGTCTCAGCAGCAGTGCGCCGCAGGCAAGAAGGAGCAGCTTCTTTCCCGCCATGGCCAATACTCGACGCGGCACGCGTATTCTCACAGTAGCTGATGGCGACGATAAGGGTCACGATGGTAACTGTGGTGCCACTAGTCACTGGTCATCTTGCTGACAGTTGTATCCGTAGAAGTCGTAGCTGCACCTGACCTTTCAGCAGCGAAAGCTATAAGACATAGGACCACCAAACGAGTCCGTGAAGTGACGGCTTGTGCATGTCTCAGCTCTGATAGCCAGATCGCAGAGGTCGCTCCATGCCAGTTCCCGAGGGTTTAGTTTACAGGGCTTATTATAGGCACTGAACCCTAAACCTTAATAAATGGTTAGGGCTTCGGGCTTTCATGAAGTCTGAAGTTGAGCGCATAAGCTCTGTGTGCAAACTGAGGCTTCGACTTTCAACCAAGGCCGAAGCTCCCCTCACAAATCCTTAAACCCACAATCACATTCAGTGGGTATTCTGGGTAGCTTCTTCCGCCTGATGCTGTGAAGTGCAAGCACCAGCGTTTTTGAGGTATCGCCGGGGTTTCCCGGAGATCGCCTGTCCTGGTCGGAAATTCTCCGGCCCATCAGACGCAGCACGCACTCTCCCCCTCCCTGGAAGCAAAAGCAGCCCTAGCCGTAGCTTCGGGCGGGTGGTCGGGACAACTAACTCGCTTGGGGTGTAGGGTTCAGGGTTCATGAAGAGCCCATGACTGCATCTCAGCGTGACAGCAGCGGCTCATCCGCAGCTGCCACAGCTGGTCCGGGATGTAAAGAGGATTGGTGGATGCGTTCATGCGGTTGCCATGAACTCCACAGAAAACTGACGGAACCAAGGGCACCCGAGCATGTTCAGGAAGCCCTCCATTCAAGCACTGCCTGCTGCTGCTGCTGCGGTCCCGTGCTTTCTTCTCGGATTGAAGCCGACAGCCGGCCTACTCGGAATCAGCCCGCAGTGCAGATTTGCAAACTTTGGAAAACGAAATCGTGGAAAACAAGAATTTCAAACATTCGGCTCCAGTGGCTGTGACACCCTGCGCGACCTCGGAAATTGCGGAGGAGTCGCGTGGGGGCGGCTTGGAAGAACTTCCCTTCCCTCTGTGTTTTCGCTGTAGAGTCTCCGTTAAACCCTAGCCGCTCCCTAAACCCTAAGAGCCGCAAAGCGCGAACTCCCACCCCCACCAACCGATGCAGCCACCAAATACTCATAGTCAGAAAACGCACAATCCAGTTCATCGCTTCGTCACCCCGCATATGCCCGTCATGCTTCATCCAACAGCTTGGAGAGTTTTGGACGCGCACACACACACATATATATATATATAGATAGATAGTATGTTGTTTTAACATTTCTATGAACAAACATATATATATATACACACACAGAGATTGATGCATATCTACATATGTATTTAGCTATTTTATAACTCTATAGGGGGACTGTTATAAGCACATGTAAGAACTCATGACTCACACCCTTCACTAACTATGCATGACGCAGACTAGTCGCCCGTCATACCTTGCTTCCTTCATGTAGGCTTCGAAGCAAGAATCCGAGTGAACCCTAAACACCTCGAGCCCCCAAAAGCAGACATGGGCAGTTTGCTAAATTAGGGTTCGTTTTGGGGTCCGTTTTTATCTGGGACCCAAAAAGGGACCCTAATGTAGAGAACTACCCACATGCCTCAATTCCCGAAGACAAGACGGGGCGAGGAACTGGCCGTCGCGGCTTAGCACACCTGGCGAAAGAGCAAAAGAAGATTAGTTGCGATGATCCTGATATGTATGGGTGTTGGAAACACTGATCAGGATCCAGGCGTCCATTATCCTCATCATGTGTATGTGTCCCGCCACAGTTCATGTGGCACTGTAACTGTACACTACTACTTGCTATCATCGTGACAAGCTGGTATACTGCGTCTTGCTCTTGATGTGAACAAAGCCGTCTTTACAAAGTATCTTGGGGCAAGGGCGGGCCGCTCGCGTTCTCAGGCTATGGGTGGCAATGACCGGGCATGCGGGAGGCTTCAGTGAAAGACTGCAGCTGCTTCGGGCATTCTTACCTCTTAGGCTGAAAAAGGTTTCGGGTTTCAGATTACGGCTTAAACCCGCTGGAACCTATCTACTCTACATCGCTGCAACGCCTTAGCCTTAAGCTTTCTCCCCTAAAGGCCAGAAATCCTACCCGTCCGGACCCACACCCCAAGTCCGGAGTCGCGGAACACCGAGAATGAGGGCACTCCAAGGGCGCCCAGAAACAAAAGGAAAACTCCATGTGCAGGAAGCCTCGAAACCGCTGGAACTCCGAAGCACAGATCCTGACAGGCGAAGCTCCAACGGCTGAATCCAAGCCTTCCTCGCCTTGAACTCGCAAGTGACCTGAAGCCTCATCCCCCAAGCCTGAGCGCCTAAACCTTGTATCCTGAGTCCCTAAAAGCCCGAACTCCGGAATCCCCCCCCGGCACCTGCTTGTCCGTCTCCAGCGTGACAGACGCAACGCCGCCCTTCAGCGTGTCCTTCACGGCCAAGAGGAACAGTGCCCCCGCCTACAACCCCATGGCCACAAGGTCCGTAACCCGAGCCCCGACCATAAGCCCTGCAATCCTAAGCCGTGTGGAATTCGAACCCCTGTAACCCTGAACCCTTGTTACCCCAGATCCTGCAACGCTAACTCTACGGGGCCAGGTTAAGGCAAACTCCACGTCCTTGACGCCCAGCTCCTCGAAGACGGCCTGCGAAGAGTCGAAGTTCTCGTGCATAAAAACTACGACATGACGTTCCCCTTTGCTTTCAACCCTGAATCCCAAACCGCAGCTCAAGCTGTGCAGAGCTTACAGGTCATGGGTGTAGGTGTAGGGTCGGTTTATTGAAGGTTCAACTGCTGCCATGACAAACGATCCTGGATAAGTTCATGATAGCAACCCTGCAGTAACTGGGGTAATCAGGAGATAGAGCGGTAAGCTCAACTGGCTCCAATTTCGCGTGGAGGAGTTGCAGCTTGGTGGACTAAGGTTGACACTTCTGGCTCTAAGCCAGCAACCGCTGGAGATTAATGACCTTAGAGAGCTGACGTGAGGGGTAATTGGTTGCGAGCAGATATCCCCAAAAGGCCTCGTACTGCAAGGCCGCGTTGCTCCAGGTGAACTCCGCGGAGGCCGCCATGGCCGCCCGGGTCATGGCCTTCACCTTGAGAAAGGGGGGAGTCTTGGGTTGAGGGTCCAGGCTTAGCTTGGGTTTAGGGTAGAGTTTGGGTAAGCTTGGGCGTTGGATGGCTTCTCTTAGTCTGAATGGGCTGGTGAAGGTGTTGTACATTCAGAAGCAGCTCATCTCGAGAAGCTGTTGTTGTACGATCTTATAAGGGCGTTTACGTGGCTGTTTCAAGGGGCTTCGGCTTAGGGTTTAGATTAGATGGGCTTCGGGTGTATTCGGGGTTTTAGATGTTATCTGGTCGTAACACCTCCGAGGTCTTCGAGTATGGGAAGCCGATGCCTGATCCTCATCCCCTCAAAACGTGATAGCGTGGACTGTAGCAAGGCAATACAGAAATACCACAAAATACACGCAAATAGTCGCGAGACTGCATCAATTCTTCCCTAAAGTCCCAAATCCTACCGCAAGAACTCCCAACTGCAATTTAAAGCTATGCTATACAGCTCATACTGATAGTAACAGCAATAGTCGGTCGTATCCGCAGATAGAGCGACAGTGAAACCCTGAGGCCCTGCCTTCTCGGGCTCCTGGATGAAGAGCTTCGAGGCCCGCTTCAGGGCGTTCGCGATGGACTGCACGGACTCCTCTGCGCTTGGTTTGGGGGAGCTTTCGGGGCCTCAAAGGACTTGGCGCCAACGCAACAGAAAAAAAAACTGAAAGCCCTAGACCCATCTTGAAACCTAAACCCCTAAAACCCTAAGGCCTAATGACACTTTTAGTGCTTCGCCTGTGTGGGGTTTGGGGATTTGGAAGCCTCCGGGGAGTTTCATTCAAGTTTGCGGATGTGGGGGTCTACTACTTTGGAAGTCGAGGTGCCAGGGGTTTTGGGGTTCAGGCAATTCGGGTTCGAGGTTCTCAAAAACTCTAGGGTTGTCGGGTCTGAGAGTTTCAGGCGTTTTCAGCCTCCTTCAATTCATTTAGCGGCTAAGTCTAAGTGGCTGCAACTTCAAGCACACCTCAAGCCGGAAGCCCAAGCCCTCAATCTGAGATCTACCCAAAGCCTCAACTCCTCCAAGATCCTCCTTCACTCCTTGATATGGGGTGGGGGGGCTTCTGCAAACTAGGGGCCCCCTGCCGATAAAGATCCCGTTCATGTTTTCTTTTTTAAACCTTGAGCCCTACAGAGCAAGGACGGCCTTGGAACCCTAGATCCTAGAAGCCGAAACCGCTTAGTCCCTGTAATCCTACACCAAAAAACATCTAGAAACGATAATACCCTGACCCTGGCCCCTCCGCCACCTTCAAACACACAGCAGGCGGAGTGCCTCGTCGATGACGGCCTCCACGGACATCTCCTTGTCGGTCCAGAGTCCGTTCAAGCCATCCTGACAGGACACTTTGGAAAAGGCCTTTGTTGCTGTGTCAAAACATAACTTGAATTAAAGGGTTTAGGGTACGGGATATGCAATAGGGGATTTTTTGAGTCCTCTTTGCAGACAGCAAATCTGTTTCATCGACGAAAGGTCTGAGACCAGGGGAAGGAACCATCCACACTAGGTATAGGGAGTATTATACTGATCAGACTGCACAGTAAAAACCTAAAAGCGCCGGACCCTGGTCTCGCCTCGACGGTGTCCTTCAGGCCGCCGGTAGGGGCGACGATGGGCAGCGTGCCCATGCGCATGGCCTCCGCGCGGGAACTCTGCGATTTTGGGGATACGCTGTCCTGAGTTTTTTGAATTTAGGCTTTCAGGGTTAAAGCTGCAGTCTCCAGATGTCGGCTTTGGGTGGAGGCTCGTTTCGTGTGGTGACCTAAGGTCAAAATGTTCAGGGTTCAAGGCATGTTGCGCAGCCCTGATCCGCCACACTCCGAGCCCCTCAACCCCAAGTCCATAAAGCAAAAGAACTTGCCTGGACTGCCCCATCCTTATCAAGGGCACTCTGGCATTCTTGGCGATCCCTCAACTCGACTCTTAGCCCGAAGCCCGAGCTCCTAAGCCCGAAACCCTAAACACAACCCTAAACCCCGAACCCCAAAGCCAAAGTCCCCTAGTCCAGCCTCCATCTGGACGAGGCCGCACGGCTCCCACCTGCAGTTTTCTGGAGGGGTTTTGAGATCATCAGCTTGGGGGTGATGGCCGGCGGGATCAGGGCCTTCGAGTTGCGCAAGTGGCCGGTTTTCCCAATTTGACCGTAGCCACAGGTACCTGTATGTAGGGTATAGAGGAGAATACGGGCAGCATGCAGCAGCTTGAAGAGCTGTCCGAACTGTGTTTACCCTGAGCACATCTAGTGGCCTTCACAGCATCTTCCGTAGAAACTCCGAGAACGCAAACTCCTGTCCAGACCCTCAAGGGCCATTTGGATCAAACTGTGCCTGGACGGAAGCAGCGTGTAGTCGCAGCCGGCCAGCAGAGCGTAACGCTCGGGGCCCATCCAGCCTGCGCAGGAAGACTCTCTGTTGAGCGCGTGGGTGAAAAAAATGCCGCTGGTTGCAGCCCTTCTACTTTACCCAACAATCCGAGTGAGTAGTAAGCACGAGAGAAGGCTTTGGGGTGGTTAGGTTTTCGGGCTAAGGCTTTGACCACAGGCTTTGGCTCTTTGGCGCACTTGGAAGCTTAAATCCTTTCGTTGTTCACGTGCGACCTCCTTACCACATTGGCCAGGGTGTGCGTTGAACGTGCCGGCCCATTAGACAGGAATCTAGCAAGGCAAGATGCTTGGGAGTGGTAGTCCAATCCTGGAACTTGTGTCTTTAGACTCTCCAATTCTCTAGGGACGCACTCACGACTCACGGGCCTGCATAGAAGAACTTGCTGGGGTACTTCTTCTCGACGGCCTTCGTCCTGTCCACGCATCGCAGCATTTGGGTTCCGGCTGTGAGGTTCTGCAGCGGTTTCAGGGTTCAGGGCGCTCAAGGACTACCCAAAAGTCTGAAACCCTCATCCCTTACTTAAAACCCTTCAACTTCCCGGCGCCCGAGGCCAGCAAAAGCTCTGAAACCCCCAGGTCCCTAAGAACCCACACCCTTGAGGCCCTACTTTGGCAGCCACCCCCCGGCAGCCGCTGCGGCCGCGAGGCTGAGCCACGAGGTCGGCGCGTCCGGAGCCCACGATGACCACCTGCATCTCGGTGTCCTGGCGAGAACTTGCGGGGCTTTCTCGAAGTGCTCCCATGTATTTTTCGGATAATATACGGGTAAGTACCCTTCTTCTTCTTCCTATGCGGTTACGCTAAACCCAAAAACGAAATGCTAAGACGGTATGATTAGGGGGACCGAGCATTGTTCCCTTGCATAGGTTACCATCCTACTGCTACTGCTGTCGCTGAAGCTGTCACTGCTGGAGTGATGGAGGACAAAAAATTGCAGCAAGAGCAGTAGCAGCAGGAATGGTGCGGTGCAATAGTAGTGTTTGCAGCAGTAGTGGCAGAAGTAGTGGCGACGGCAGCAACAGCCCCAGGAGCAGCAGCAGCAGCAGTTCTTGTGGTCGACGCCGTCATCGTAGCACCATAGCAACAACTACTACCACTCGAATGCTTTGGGTTTGACATGTGCGAGTACCAGTCTACTGGAGCGCTGTGATTCACCACCTCAGACCTCGAATCTGAAACAGAAACGTAACCCTAGACGAAACCCGAAGCCCTAAAAGAAGCAAACCATTAAAAAATCCCAAACCCCCCGAATCCCCCGATTGTTCCGAAAAGCCGGCGGGGGCGGGGGCGGGGTGTCTTGGGCACTGCCTCGAGGATCTCCACCAGGGCCTCCAGAAGCAGGTCGTAACCCTTCTGGGCATCCAGCCTGCAAGGCGTTTAGGGTTTGGGGTGTAGGTTATGGTTTAGGCTTTAGGGTTAGGCCGGATGCATGTAAAGCCGGTGCAACGGCTGTCTATTGTTGCTGCTAGTTGGGAGTCGAGGAACTCGGACAAGCTCTAGGCCCCTACAGGTTGTAAGTCCTCATTTCCTCAAGAGCCCAATATACTCCTTAAATTAAGGAATATACCTTGAATACTAGGAGCCTTAATATTATAATTTTTGGTATATTCCTTAATTAAATTTAATTAAGGGGTATTGGGCTCTCTGCGTCCTCCTTCCCGCATCCCACGTATCATATCCCCTCAGTAGCCTTGATTTACCAAACCTCCCGAGTGTCCGCGTCTCGGACTTCGAGCTACACCTTCAGCCGCTACAGTCTCAACACAAAGGCATCTGACAGAGTGCGCTCCCCGATTTTCCTAAGCGGCCCTCTAGGCACGAGACATCATTACCCCTCAACCCCCACGTCCGAGCTGGCAGCCTTCCGATGAAGCACATGAGGGGGCCCGTGGACTCCGGAAGGTTGTTCTGCGCACGGTAGGTGGCCTGGCCAAACGCACATGCTCAATTTCTCGACAGCTTCTCGGGGCCCCAAAAGCCATGGGCATAGAGCTCCAAGACGTTAGAATCACCTCAAGATCTCACAAGCACAAAACGAAGACCCAAAACTTCCAAAAGACTACAAGCCAACAAGACCCCAAATCATGACAAAGGAGCCAGAACTCCAAACGCCCCCCCCCCCTCCCGCCAACCTCTACACACCCTAAACTTTATGGAGACTCTAGTTTTGAACCCTATAGAAACCAACAACTGGACAAAGAATCCCAGAACACCGTAGAACTCTGTAAATCCGATAGATTCCTACAAAACCCCTGCAAAGCCCCGAAAGAAACCCAACCCGACAAGAAGCCTGACAGAAACCCCATAGGTTCCTATACCAACATAACCCAGAGCCCTACCCAGAGGGCCCAATACTCCTTAAATAAGGGATATGCCTTAAATTATAGGGGCCTTAATATTACGATTTTAGGTGTATTCCTAGTGGGCTCTCTGGGTAGAACCTCGCGGCTTCCTGCGGAAAGACCCCGCCTTCAGCTCCGCCTTGGCCTCTGGGGCGGTGGCGGCCTCGAGCTGCGGGAGTCTTTCTGAGCTACTGTTGAAATGTATGTTCTATATATACATCTATATATATATATATTGATTGAT